TTTGGCTCAATATATCATTGTTACACAATGATTGGTTAATTTTCGTAATTATGCTAAATTTGATCTTCATTTGATTATAATTCTAGTAACAACCATTTCAATGGGTCATTTAATTATATTACGATTAGTTATATATTTTATAGATATATACTTGTGACAACCATTAGAATTTTGAAAATTATATATTCTAAGAACTATTGAAATATTGGTATATTTTTAAATTAGTAATTGAATTCAAATGTATACGGTTGATTAATTTGTTCAAAGGTTTCTAGATATTTCTTTTAACAATAAAATGTATCTTGTAAAGTGTGGATTCTTAAAATTATTCAATCCTTGGTATTAATATTTAAACACAATATATTATTGTAAAATAGATTGGATTAGCCTAACAAAAAAGATAATGCTTATCATTTTTTTTTTCAAATGGATATCGGATTAGGCTTTATGGTTGAGGATTTATATTTTTAACAATCAAATGTATTATGAGCTGTAAATTCAAACAATTAGTATCTTTGTTCATGATTTTAAATTATTTATTTCAAATAATCCTCGGTTGAGGATTAGGATGTTTGTAATATGAATATTCGATTAATTTAATTTTTTGTATGTATATTCTTTTGGTGTGAAATATACAAATATTAGACTAATATATTTTCATTGAAGACGGTTATTAGATAGAAATTAAAATATTTAGAAATTTATTTGTCATGGAAATAAAAAATTAATATATACAATCTAAAAAAAAAACATAAATTCAATTGTGATATATGATGCAATCGTGTAACATAAATGTAATGTTGTTTGTTGTGATAAATATATTATAACTAAAATCAGCTATTTTTTAGGACTCTTTTTAATGAAAGTGGCGAGTGGTGCTATTTTTTAGGACTCTTCTTAATGAAATGGCGGGTGGTCAAAGCTTGATAATTGGTGGGTAAATATGGCGGGAATTCCTTAAATGGTTATTCTTTTAATATAATTATAGATGTGCATATTTTGAAGCATAGCTGGATCTGTCAAGGAATTATGCTAGACTAGAGAGGTTATATTGTAATTGTTCCTTACTATTACTAATTCAATTCTTGTATTCTTGAATCTGTTCTCTTTGTGGGGAAG